GGCTCAGTTTTTCTATGTATCTTGCTCTGTTGAACGGCAAAAGTGACTTTACTAGGCTATACTATATTAACATCATGCTGTCAGCCGCGCCCCCAGCTATCACAAGACCCGACCAAGTCCATGGTTACACACCTAAATGTAGACCAAGAGCTAATCTTACCTACTATAGTTAAACTATCTATGTAATATTACTCCTCTCTGTCATTAGTGATAACTAACCCTTAAACATGGCCGAATTTGAAAAATAAATCACTTACCTGAGACGATGAGTGAGCGCGTGGAAGGAGGGTGGTCTTAATGCTTTAGATTTTAATATCATTAACCAGACTTTCAAAATTAACTGGATCAAGAATGGTTTATCTAATAATGAGTTACCCTGGTTTTGGATCCCTAACCTATTCTTCAAACGTTGTGGTGGCCTTAAATTTTTATTGTCCTGTAACTTTAAGTGTAGTAAGTTACCTATTAAACTGTCACATTTTCATAAACAAGCCCTAGAATCCTGGAAGATTGCTTTTAAACATAATTTCTCCCCGCACACGTGTATTCTTTGGAACAATGAAAATATATTGTCTGGTAACAAATCACTCTGTTTCATTGAATGGGTGAATCAAAATATCTTTTTTTGTTTCCGATTTGTTCAATTCTGATGGGGACCTTCTTTCTTTTTCTGATTTTGTGTTTTTGAAAGGTGCATCAATCTCACTAAGATATTTTAATAAGGTGACAATGTATCACTGTCAGTTTAAAAACTTTGTGTTATGTGTCATTTATGTTATGGCTGTGTAAACAACCATTTTCCTACACTTGCATTTAATGGTGTTTATGTATTAGATAAAAAATGCAATAACTTTTTTTTATTAGAAATGCTCTTTCTTCAACTCCAGGATGACCCTCTAAAGCACAATCTAAATGGAGGATGTGTTATCCAAACTCTGAATTAAAAAAACTTATGGACCTTTCCTCACAGGCTATTTATCCCAAATGAAATTAAAGAACTCCATTTCAAAATTTCTCATAGATACTACCCTTGCAATTTATTTTTGAGCAGATTTTCTGAGAATATAATTGCTTTTAAACATAATTTCTCCCCGCACACGTGTATTCTTTGGAACAATTAAAATATATTGTCTGCTAACAAATCACTCTGTTTCATTGAATGGGTGAATCAAAATATCTTTTTTTGTTTCCGATTTGTTCAATTCTGATGGGGACCTTCTTTCTTTTTCTGATTTTGTGTTTTTGAAAGGTGCATCAATCTCACTAAGATATTTTAATAAGGTGACAATGTATCACTGTCAGTTTAAAAACTTTGTGTTATGTGTCATTTATGTTATGGCTGTGTAAACAACCATTTTCCTACACTTGCATTTAATGGTGTTTATGTATTAGATAAAAAATGCAATAACTTTTTTTATTAGAAATGCTCTTTCTTCAACTCCAGGATGACCCTCTAAAGCACAATCTAAATGGAGGATGTGTTATCCAAACTCTGAATTAAAAAAACTTATGGACCTTTCCTCAGAGTTGTTGTGAAAACAAGCGTTGTGTCTGTAAACTGTCATAGTCGTACATTTTGGAGTTGTACGGGGAAGTCGTGGCCTAATGGTTAGAGAGTCGGACTCATAACCCAAAGGTTGTGGGTTCGAGTCTCGTACCGGCAACGAAATATTGTAGGTGGGGGGAGTGAATGTACCTTCAATACCTCTCTCCCACCTTCAATAGCACGACAAGGTGCCTTTGAGCAAGGCACCAAATCCCCAACTGCTCCCCGGGCGCCGCAGCATAAATGGCTGCCCACTGCTCCGGGTGTGTGTTCACGGTTTGTGTGTGTTCACTGCTGTGTGTGTGCACTTTGGATGGGTAAATGCAGAGCACTAATTCCGAGTATGGGTCACCATACTTGGCCACATGTCACTTCACTTTCAGGCTATTTATCCCCAATGAAATTAAAGAACTCCATTTCAAAATTGCTCATAGATACTACCCTGGTCATTTATTTTTGAGCAGATTTTCTGAGAATATATCCACAATGTGTTCACTTTGTAATACTGATGAAGAATCTATTCTACATATGTTTTATCATTGGCCATTCACCAAGTATTTTTGGTCAGACGTTACAATGTAAATTTTTTCCTGCTGTAACATAATGATAGAAATAACAGAATCTATCATTTGTTTTGTCAGATTTTCATTCCAAGGACATTAATCTGGAACATATTGTTTTATTGCTTTGTCTTCTGGGTAAATTTCACCTTCATAAAGCCAGAACCATTCATTGCAAACCTAACTTTAGAATGTTTTCATCTGATATAAAGGCCCTTTTTACTTCTAAGAATGTCAAATCCTTTGAACTCAAAGGCTTCTAAAACTTTTAACATTCTTGAGTCTATTGTAAGCTATCTTTAAAAGACTTTCCTTTTTTTTTTTTTTTCTTCTTTATCATTGGTATATTTTGATAATTTGTGTAGCTTGTCTAACTTCATGTGATGTTCGTTAGCACCACGTTACTTCATAACTGTTGCTATTCTTTCAATTCAATAAAAAAAAATAAAAAAAAAGAGTGAGCGCTTGGCTGCTGATCCGCCATTTTGGCGCCAGTGGTTTAAAACTGTGGCACTTCGTGGAATCGATTCATCTTCCCTCGGATAGTAATGCCTGTGACAATGATGACGTATTTTTGACAGTCGTTTCGCACACCGCACTTCGTGGTCGCAGTACAGGAAAGGGTGTAAACGTTTATCCGCCCTGATGCGTCCCTGATACTCAACTAACAAGTGATCAGTCTGGGATATGTAATGGGAAAGTTCACCAGGAGAAAACAATATCAGAGAAATTGACCTTTAACAAGGCAAAATGCAGTTTCATTGTCAAAAATATTTTTGGCTTGCAAATGTTCTCACCTCACCCACCATTGGCTAGTGTAGGAAAAAGTTAATTTTGGACTCTGCCTTCGAGACAGAGCACATTGAACCTGCTTCTTAAGATCTGCTCCCGGCAAGCCACCTATTCCCCAATAACATCAAACACAATTAATTATTCATCCTAAAAGTCCAGCCACAAAGTGCTGTGCTCTTGCTCTTCAGCCATCCATTGGGACTTTGAGCTGTGCTTTTGTGTCTCTCTGTCTATAACACCTGCCTTCGAGACAGAGCACATTGAACCTGCTTCTTAAGATCTGCTCCCGGCAAGCCACCTATTCCCCAATAACATCAAACACAATTAATTATTCATCCTAAAAGTCCAGCCACAAAGTGCTGTTGCTCTTGCTCTTCAGCCATCCATTGGGACTTTGAGCTGTGCTTTTGTGTCTCTCTGTCTATAACAGTAGAGATCTAGTTCTTTGACACTTGTAAGGCTGATGTGTGTTATTTTGTTATATTTAGGACACGTTTTCATTAATATTTAATTGAAAGCCGTTTCATCAAGCGACATCCTTCTTCTGACATGTATTAGTTGTAATCTAGGACTGTTGTTGCATATACAAACTGACTTTCAGATAAAGTGTTCACTTTTGAATGCAAGAAACTAAACATTGTTTGAAAGGCTAACATTGTAGGCCTCAAGGTAGAAAATACACTACAACATTTAAACCACTGACAGGTGAAGTGCATGAATAACATTGATTCAAGAATGGCAGTTCTTGCATTTCATGTGTTGGAATAAGGAAAAATGGGCAAGCGAAAATATCTTGGGCCCTGTTTATTCCTGGTATTAAAGATGTATTTTTTGGTGATCCAATGATAAATGGGCAATGCTAAATACAGGTGTCTGAAAAGTTTGTCCACTTTCGACTGCTTCCAGAAGTAGTTGAAAAAGCATTCAACTGGATTACTTTCATATTGTAGATGCTCATGTGGTCAAATGCGTTCGAACAGCCTCCTTTCTGCTTACTGGCTTAATTCTTTAACATTATGGGATGTATTGTTGAAGCGCGCTAGCCAGACGGAATTTAAAGTTTGCAGGCTGAAACAGTATGTTTTTTGTTTGAAGGCGAAAAAATGGAAAATCACAGTGTTTCTTACCAGTCCTGATTCTAACACAAATCCATGGCCTTCGGCATAGTTTTATAGGTATCAGAGCACATACAAAAGCAGGATAATGCACCTGCCACACTGCAAAAAAAAAATTTCAGGAATGATTTGAGGAACATTACAAAGAGTTCAATGTGTTGCCTTGGCCTACAAAGTGCCCAGATCTCAGTTTGATTGAGCATCTATGGCAGGGGTGCCCAAACTCGGTCCTGGAGGGCCGGTGTCGTGAAGAGTTTAGCTCCAACCTCAATTAAACACACCTGAACCAGCTAACAAGCCAAGCAACTCCACTCCAACGGTCACAGACGTCTCTTTCCTTAACGAGCTAAATGACTTTTATGCTCGCTTCGACAGTGACAGCAAGGAGACGGCCACCGTATCACACTCTCAGCAGACCACCAACCCCTCAAACTCACCTCCACAGATGTCTACACCGCATTGAGCCAGATCAACGCACGCAAGGCTGCTGGCCCCGACGGCATTCCTGGACGTGTGCTTAGGGCATGTGCAGAGCAGCTCGCAGGGGTCTTCACAGACATCTTCAACCTGACCCTCACCCAAGCAACTGTGCCAACATGCTTTAAGTCCACATTGTAGCGTCTGGACCACCCAAACACACAATATATATTTTGTTAGCTAGATTTAACAAATACTCTGTAACACCCCAGGAACAGGCCCCTGATTCCATGGTAACCCTGACACCCGATCCATTTACGACCTCCTGGAATTTAGGTGAAGAAAATCCCCTTCCTTGCCCATAAGGAAAATCCACAAGGAATGGACTTTTCTACTAATTAATTCATAGGAAAACCTTTCTTTGAATGAACAGTGTATCCTTCAGGTCATTGGGTATATTATTGTCATCGTGTATTTTGTCTTTGATATTTTTAGACTATTTTAGGCATGCTTGTGAGGGAACCCATTCCTGTCATCCTTTCACTATAAGTAACTCTACCATGTTTAGTATCTATGAATTCGTATTCGGATGAT